TCCGATAACTACTTCAAAAGTTACAAAAAACGCTTCACCGTTGCTTAACTTTCCAGATCGGACGGTCTAGATCGTCAAATTTAAAAATTTTTTCCCAAAATTTTAATTTTTTAAAAAATTCATAACTTGGCTCAAAAAAATCATATTAACGTAAAACAAAGCTTATTCGATGCAGAATTTAATGCTCTATCTTACATCTCCCAACACTTTTCTTCTAACTCCAAAACTAAATAAAGTTAAGGTCACTTTTATGCAACTTTCTTAAAATTTCACTTTTTACTCCATATCTTTTTTTCTGTTAATCCAATCAAATTGAAACAAACTTTTTTCTTAAGAAACCGACCACGCTCTACAACTTTTCTCCCAACCACTGTTTGCTCAGACCCCTCTAAACACCTTAAATCCTTAGGTACCACTTTGACAAAAAAGTTGTCAACAGGCACATCTACCCTCCCCGTTGTCCGAACGACTTCAACTCTTTTTCTATCATATTCTCCATGTTGTGGTGCTTCAACCTTGTAACTGACCCAACTTTCCCCGACATCGTCTTCATACTCATTTCCGACCTCAAAGTTTCGAAAAAACATGTTTTTTCAAAATATCTAATTTTTTCTCCATTGGACCCCAACTTTTGGAGGTTTTCCTGAAAACTACATTGTATTGCGCATCTATAGCAAAAAACCCCGCCCCTTTACACCCACTCAAAAGCTCTGGGGACTTTTTTTTAGCTGACTGCCTTTTTACTATTATATATAGATAACCAGCGTTCGGCGCGAATTGCTGAGTAGTTTTAATAGCTTTTGGGTATTAAAGCTGACTCCAGCGTTATTACAATCGAGATAATTCAATTTGGGTTAATTTCCCAGTATTTGAAAACTTCAGACTCAAATGTCCAGTCTTAGACTCAAGCGACACCTTTGAAAATATTCTCATTCAATTCCTCTTTCAATTCCCCATCGAATGACACCTCAAGCATCTTTCAATGACTAATACTTCAAAAGTTATAAACTTTTGAATTTAAGTCATAAAAACATGCGGGCCTTCGGCCCGCATGTAATTTTTGCTAGTGATTTTTGTAATTTTTTCATCTATTTTTGCTAGCTAAAAATTATTAAAATAATTATACGGGGCCTTCGGCCCCGTATATTTTTAACATTAAATAGAAGTTTATTGCAACGCGTTCCCAATTTTTATAAAATAATTTTTGAGCGGTTGCCTAAGGCAACGCGTTTTTTGCAACGCGTTCCGTATTAAAAAAATATTTTTTATTTCTTGCGGTTGCCTTTGGCAACGCGTTTTCTGCAACGCGTTCCGAATTTAAAAATAATATTTTAAATTCTCGCGGTTGCCTAAGGCAACGCGTTTTTTGCAACGCGTTCCGTATTAAAAAAAATATTTTTTATTTCTGGCGGTTGCCTCCGGCAACGAGTTTTTTGCAACGCGTTCCGTATTAAAAAAATATTTTTTATTTCTTGCGGTTGCCTTTGGCAACGCGTTTTCTGCAACGCGTTCCGAATTTAAAAATAATATTTTAAATTCTCGCGGTTGCCTAAGGCAACGCGTTTTTTGCAACGCGTTCCGTATTAAAAAAAATATTTTTTATTTCTGGCGGTTGCCTCCGGCAACGCGTTTTCTGCAACGCGTTTCAATTTCCTTTAAAAATAATTTTTAATTCTGGCGGGTTCCTCAGGCAACGCGTTATATGCAACGCGTTCCGAATTTTTAAAAATATTTTTTAATTCTGCGGTTCCCTCCGGCAACGCGTTATCTGCAACGCGTTTCGATTTAAAAAAATAATTTTAAATTTCCGGCGGTTGCCTCCGGCAACGTGTTTATCGCACTGAGTTACGAATCTTAATATTACGTTTAAAAAGTTGTAAAAATTAGAATTTTATAAAAAATTTTCAGTCCCAGACTCAAATTAATAAATGAGACTCAAGTGTCCTTTTCATTAAAAATTTATTTTCTAATATTCCCATTAATTTTTATAATTTTTAAAATTACTTTCAACTGATTTTAACCTTCAGACTCAAATATTCTACCCTCAGACTCAAGTGACCCCTTCAAAAATATTTTCAAAAAATTCGCCTGATTTTTGCACGTCAAATGACACTTCAATCATATTTTTCCGATAACTACTTCAAAAGTTACAAAAAACGCCTCACCGTTGCTTAACTTTCCAGATCGGACGGTCTAGATCGTCAAATTTAAAAAATTTTTCCCAAAATTTTAATTTTTTAAAAAATTCATAACTCGTTGCAAAAAAGTCAAATTAACATAAAACAAAGCTTATTCGATGCAGAATTTAAAGATCTATCTTTCATCTCTTATCACTTTTTTTCTAACTTCAAAACTAAATATGGTTAAGGTCACTTTTATGCAACATTCTCAAAAATGCACTTTTTACTCCATATCTTTTTTTCCGTTAATCCAATCAACTTGAAACCAACTTTTTTCTTAAGAAACCCACAACGCTCTACAACTTTTCTCCCAACCACTTTTTGCTCAGACCCCTCTAAACACCTTAAATCCAAAGTTACCACTTTGACAAAAAAGTTGTCAACAGGCACATCTACCCTTCCCGATGTCAGAACGACTTCAACTCTTTTTCTATCATATTCTCCATGTTGTGGTGCTTCAACCTTGTAACTGACCCAACTTCCTCTGACTTCATCTTCATACTCATTTCCGACCTCAAAGTTTCGAAAAAACACGTTTTTTCGAAATATCTAATTTTTTCGCCCCTTTCCCCCCACTTTTCGGATTTTTCCTGAAAACTACATTAAATTTCCCATCTATAGAAAAAAACCCCACCCCTCTACGACTTCTCAAACTTCCGGAGGACTTTTTTTTAGCTGAGTGCCTTTTTACTGTTATATATAGATAAAATTAAAATAAATACAAATTTATTTTAATTATTTTTCATTTTTTTTAATTTTTATTTAAAAAATATTTCCTAATTAAGAAATTATAGCTTATACAAATAAATATAAAATTAATTTTTATAAATTAAAAATAAAATAAAAATAGAAATACAAATTTAAAATTATTTTTAATTGGCAACTACAAAGATAAATTCCAAAAAATATTTATTTTATTTAAATTAGGTATTAATAATAATTTAATATACCTATATATTAAAATTAATTTTTAAATGCTTATCAAAAAATATTTTAAATAAAATATAGAAACATTTTGTTTTAAGCAAAAAATATTTTTATTTATTTTTATTTTTAATTTTTTAAACATACAACAAGACTGATTTTATTCTGACAATTTAAATTCTAAATAAATAAGCGTGGGTTTAATATAAAATGAATTAAACAAAGATTGACATTCAAACTTGTTTTATAATTAAATTTTGCATTCTTACAAACTTGAAAAGTTTTAGAATATTTAAAATAAGAGTAGAATTCAAGTTGCAAATAAATTTGTCCGTAACATTTTAAAGTTGGAAACAAACTTGAAGCTTTTATAACTTTTATTTTATATTTTTTATATATTTTATTTATTTTAAAATAAACTTTGTTTGTTATTGTCAAGCTTGTTTCAATATTTACTTTCAACAAACTAAGTTTTAAGATTAAACTTAAAAGAATTTAAAGTATCAAGCATGAACTTGAATTAAAAATAAGCTTGATTTTATTACAAAATAAAACTTTAAAATAAACTTATTAAACTTTAATTTTTCTTAAAACCTTTTTCTGAAGCTTAAACTTAATTTTATTTTCTTACCCAAAACAAACCTTATTTTAATCAATCCTATGTAAATATTAAAAATTAAAAAATAATTTGTCAAAAATATTTTTATTAAAAAAATATTTTTTTCCTATTTATTTACTTTCACATTAATTTCCTTTTAAAAAAATATTTATTTATTTATTTATTCACTCCCCCCTCATTTATGTACCTAGAAAGTATTGAATAACAAATTTCCCCCTCCCCTCCCCCACACTTTTTTTTTTATAAAATTAAAACTTTTTTTAAATAAATAAATTTATTTAAATAAATATTTTTTTATAAATATTTGCTTCTTGTCTATCAAAAAAAATTTTTTTTAAATCATATGGAACAAGTTATGAAAATGATATGAGTGAAAAGAGCGCTTTTAAAAATTTAATAAACAAGTTGAAACTTTATTCTTTTTTTAAATAAACTTGAAAAGTTTGAAAAAAAAGTTTTATATTTTAATTCTTTGCTTTTATATTTTAGTTAACTAAAAGTACATTTTTATTTCAACTTTTAAGTTTTTGTCTCATTTTTCTAAAAATCTTTAATTTTTATTTTGTTTTAAATTCTGGAATACAGTGTGTAACAAAACTATAACCCAACTTAAATTTTTTTAATTTCTTAAGATTCTAATGAATGAAAATTTTTTTTAAATATTTACCCAAATTGAAAATGTAATTTAAAGCAAGAATAAAAAATAATTTTTATTAAAATTTTTTTCACATTTTATGAAATCTAGGTGTAACATAACTATAACTCCACTTGGAAAAATTTTAGTTTTCATATTAGAAATGCCTGAAAATTTTTACCGAGCATCATTTTTTGATAATTTTTAGATTTGAAATTTTAAAAAGTGAAGCAAACCTAAAATAACAATAATAATATTTTAGTTACGTTTTTGGTTTGACATTGAATAGGAGAGAGGGCTGTCCACGTGATGATACCTCCTATGCCCAGTGGCTATTTTATAATAGGCTCGGTTGTTATAATAAGTTATATCACGTAGGTAAATCCCCAATCCAATATCAAACCCAAACGTCTCTAAAATAAAGTTAACTAATATGTGATATGTATCTTATAGTGAGGTCCAATTCTAGTAATTTTATCTTTGCCTCCCTTTCTTAAATAATTTTTTATTTAAATTTGCATTATTTTTTAAATTTTTTTAAATATTATTGCTTCTATAAACTTTTTTAAATTAAAAAATAATTACTAATTTTTAGCCTAAAACTCTTTAACAACAAAAAAATTTAAATAAATTTAATTAAAAATTCAAAAAAATGATTTCGCCCTTATGGCGCCTTGTCTTCGGCTCCCTTTTTTCATTGCTAACAATTGTTGGCCTGTGTGGAAATGCTTTAGTTATTGTTGCTATTTTGGGAGATCGTAAAATGCGTAGAAGTGTTATGAATTTGCTTTTGCTTAATTTGGTAGGCTTAAATAAACTTGGAAAAAATAAACTTGAATAAGTTGGAGAAAAAAAGTTTTTGAAAAATAAACTTGGAAAAAAATAAACTTGAAGAAAATAAACTTGAAAAATTAAACTTGAAGCAAATTTATACTCCTTAACTTTAGGCTGTTGCCGATGCCTTGAATTTAGCTACAACCTCACTCGAGTGGACACCCACGATTGCATTAGGCTCTCCTACATGGATTCCGTGGTTGCCATATTATTTATGCCCTTTAGTCCGATATTTGGAGTGTGTCTTTTTATTTACGTCAATTCTTACACAATTAATGGTTTGCATTGAACGGTTAGTTAAATAAAAATAAACTTGAAGCAAACAGAAAAATAAACTTGAAAAAATAAACTTGAAGCATAAACAAAAATTAAACTTGAAACATAAACTTGGTGGTAAATAAACTTGAATTAAAAGTTTTGAAATAAATAAACTTATTGTTAGAAGCAAAATAAAAGATACCTAAACTTGAAACAAGATTAAAAATAAACTTGACGATAAACTTGAAGCAAAACTTAATTTCCAGTTACATCGCTATTGTTTTCCCCATTCACGCCCGTCGCCTATGCTCACGTACAAATATTCTCATAGCAATTTTTACAATATGGTTAACTGCCTGTTTAATTGCTGTTCCATATGTATTACATAATAAAATTAGTCCAGACGGTAAAAAATTTTTTTTAATTTTTTAAAGTTTACAAAAAAATTCTTTAGGGTCAGTTTGTATTAATGTTCGTGCTTCCTCGGAATTTTGGAATAAATGGTTTGAATTTTTAACTCTTTATTTGCTTCCATGTCTGGCATTCCTTTTTCTTTATTCTAAAATTTGTGCTGTTCTATGGGCGAAGAATAGACAACTTTATGAAGGTAAATGAAACTTGAAGCAAAATAAACTTAAGATACTAAATAAACTTGAAGCAAAAAAATAAACTTAAAATACTAAATAAACTTGAAGCAAAATAACTTATAATAATTAAACTTGAAACAAAAGACTTTAACTTGAAGCAAAAACAAAAATTCCTTTCTTAATTAACAAAAAAATTTTTTTAGTTCCAGAAACAAAAACATCACTCTCAGCAAGAGATGAGCCTCGGTTGTCAGATCCCGGCTCAGCTGCTAGTCGAACAAGCAGCACATCAGCAGCTTTGCTGGGAGCCAGAGAAGAAGCTTTAAGGACTAGAAGAAATGTAGTTAAAATGTTGGTGGCTTGTGTTTCTGTTTATTTTGTTTGTTATTCACCTATACAAGCTATTTTCTTATCAAGGCATGAATTTTAATAAAAGAAAGTAAAAAATGAAACTGAAGCTTTGTAATAAATAAAGATGAGATCTTGAAGCAACAAGATAAATATAGCATTAAAATAAACTTGAAGCAGAAAAAATAGCAAAATAAACAAACAAGAAAAAATAAACTTGAAGCAAAAATAAACTTACAAGGGAACATTCCGAACTGTGACCAAAAATTTTTTTATAAAAATTATACTATCGTGTAGAGCATGTTCGATAGCCTAACCTATATATTTCTTTTTTGGCCCTGACCCCCATTTCGAAAAGTTATAGGGCTTCAAAGTTTCCGACTTTTGGAGCGGTTGAGTCGCCCTCATAAAGAGAGAGTTTTCTTTTATTAAGGAGAAAAATAAGACTCCCATCCTCCTTTTTTCCTTTCCTTTTCTTTTCTCATGTTTGTTAAAGAAAGAGAAAAGGAGGATAGAAAAGAAAAGGAAAAAGGCATCTCTGCCTTGCGGCTAATGTCAATTAAAAAGGAAAGAGGAGGAGGCAGAGATGCCTCTTTTCCTTTCCTTTTCTCTTCTCTTTTTCTCTTTCTTTAACTAATATTGGAAAAGAAAAGGAAAGGAAAAATGGAGAAAAGGAGTCTCATTTTTCCCTTTAGGAAGACAAATAATAAGAAAAGTGAGGGCGACTCAACCGCTCCAAAAGTCGGAAACTTTGAAGCCCTATAACTTTTCGAAATGGGGGTCAGGGCCAAAAAAGAAATATATAGGGTTAGGCTATCGAACATGCTCTACACGATGGTATAATTTTTATAAAAAAATTTTTGGTCACAGTTCGGAATGTTCCCTTGTTAAAACTTAAGTACAGTAAGAAATAAAAAATATGAGAAGCAAAAACTTGAAAAATAAAACTTAATGAAGCAAAAAAGTTGGAATAAATAAAAATAAACTTGACGCAAATAAAACAAAAGTGAAAATACAAAACTGAAGCAAATTACTTAAAATTCAAAAAAAAATCTTTAAAAATTCCAAAAAAATTTTTTAATAAATTTAAATTAAAAAATATTTGTTTTTTTTTCAGAGGCCTTTTTAATGTTAGAATTCACCCTCCATATCAATTTATTTTGTTAATGAATGCACTAGCAATGCTTTGCAGTGCTTGTAAGTCTTGAAATTTATTTTAAAAAATAATTTTTAATTTTAAAGGCAATCCTTTACTTTATACTCTCTTCTCTAGAAGATTTAGAACAAGAATAGCAGCTTTACTTTGCCCTTACTCTTTTGCTAAAAAAGTTTCAGCAGTAAAGGCAGGTGCTAGCAGTGTGATGACAACTAGAAGAGCTTCAAAATTATCACCAACTATGACAAATGGGGGTGGATTGTTATTGACACAGTGGAGTGGGTTTTTTTTTAATTTTTTTAAATATTTGTTAATTATCGAAAAAATAATTTTCGGAAATTTGATTAATAATAGGTATGTAAGATGAAGCATAAATTTAATAATAAACTTGAAGCAAAAAAATTAAACTTGAAGCAAAAATAAAATAAACTTGAAGAACAACTTGAAAGAAATAAACTTGAAATAGTCAGTAAGGAAAATAAACTTGAAAACTTAAAAAATCAAACTTGAAGCAAAAGGAAAAATAAACTAGAAACTTGAAGCAAAAACTTTAAAGTTTATTTTTACAGATTCAATAAACAGTAGTAGCTATTGTGGAGCTACCCACCGTTTAATGAGTACATAATAGAACAAAAAAATATTGTGATGATTCTAATTTTTGTATTTAATGAGAACTTTATTTTTAACTTTATTGTGCATATTTTTTGTTAAAATTTTGAACAATTAAATTATATGATTTTTAAAATAGACTTGAAGCAAGCAGATAGGGAAAAATAAACTTGAGAACAGTTTTAAAAAAGAATAAACTTGAAAACTTAAAATTCAAACTTGAAGCAAGATAAGGAAAATAAACTTGAAATAAGGAAACAAACTTGAAGTAAAAGGAAAATTTCAAACCCCTTAAAATTCCAAAAATTAAATTCCTAGAAATATTAATAAAAAATTTAAAATTTTATTTTAAATATTTTTCAATTAAATTGACAATTTTTAATATTTAAAAAATAAAAAAAATTATTTTTAAATATATATTTATTAGAAAAAATCTGCTGCTTTAGGTCTCCCTCCAGCACTACTTGTAGCACTTCCACCTAGAAAAAAAAATTTTTAAATCTTAAACCAAAAAAACTAATTCTTACCATTATCATTTCCAAAAGCTGCTGGAGGAATATTTAAAAGATTATCAGTAACATTAATTGTTGTTGTTGATTTATTACTTTCAGGTAATCTTGTGGGGGTAGAAGCACCTGAATTTGCTTCACTTTTTGGTTTGACCAATTTATATATTGATGGGCTAAACATTGTACGGCTAGTTGGTGTTCTTAAATATTGAATAAGAATTATTTTTAAATAGAATATTAATTTTTAAATATTTAAACATTGAAGCAAAAATAAACTTGAAGCAGTAGAGACAAAATAAAGGGGAAAAATAAACTTAATGTCCAAAAATGAAGCAGAAAAAAAATTTCGGAGTTTTTTAATTAGATTTTTCGAAAATTTTAAAAAATTAAAAAAAGAAATAAAAAAAGAAATTAAATTTACCCTCTCGGACTAGGCGAAAATTTAATTAATTTGTCAGTTCCCAATCGAATACCCAATCTTTCATTAAGCAAAGTACGTGCAGCTGGAGACATTGTACCAACTCTGGAGGTTCCAGAACGACAAGAAGCGTTGAATTTTGGTGTTTTTCTTTAAAAAAATAATTTTTTAAAATAATTTTAAGAATTTATGGATATTCAAAAACCCGTAAATTTTACACGAAAATTATAAAAAATATTTTATAAGAGAATACATAATAAAATACACTTCATAAGATACCAAGGACGTAGCCAGAAGGTCGATTTCAGCCCTCCTAAAATTTTTTCACTTTCCCCATGTCAGGGGGGGGGGCTATAGCCGCAAAAGCCCCCCTGTCTACGACCTAATAAGATACACCTTTAAGAGGATTGTATTTCAAATAGAGTGGAGCGTATTTTAAGATCAGCGGTTATCAAAGGCCCCCACCCTGTCCCTCCAACCAGAAAATTACTACAAATTTTAAATCTTAAAAAATAAAAACCAACGGAGCAATTTCCTGTATTTTATTCATTGCCAATTTTCTTTTATTATTATAACTCGAAGCAATTTTTTCCGCAATTTGTGCAGCAACTTTTTCTCTAACAGGCATTTCGGGTATTTTAAATGTTGGGGCATTTTCTATGTGTGGTTGGATTTCTGGAGCATCTAGACGAAATGGTGTTCCTTCAATTTCTCCCCATGTCATTAATGGAGATTCGTCTAAAAAATATTTAAATTTATTTTGAAGAAAATTTTTTAAAATTTTTTTAAATTTTTATCGGGATTAATTTAAAAAATTAATATTAAATATGTCTTATTTTTATGTACCTACCTACCCTATAAATGTCCTATTATCAAGTTCCTAATTTGGAATTAGGGGTTGGCTATGGTCGGCATCAAACTCTTATTCCGAAAATGTTCGATTATCTGCTTTTTAAACTTAGCTCTAGATTTTAGAGAAACAGAATATGAAAGTTTTGGAGGGTAAATCGGCCCTTATTTCAAAAATAATCCATTAAAACAATTAATAAATACTTAAACCAGAATAAAAACGAAAGTAAAGCCTCACAATTAGATTTTAATATTAGAAAAAGGATTCTCTTCTTATTTTACCCAATGTAGATAAATTAGATTCAAAAACTTAAAAAACTAACCAGGTATTGGAGTAGGTGTAGCAACTAACCCAATAGTTTTACTTTCAATCCCAACTTGTTTTCCAGTAACATCAACATGCCCAGCTATTTTAGAAACATTTTGGAAAGCGGCACGAGCCATCGCAACCTTTAATAAAATTTTAATAGAAGTCATCTCCAATCTATTTCTAAAATATTTTTTAAATTTATTTTTAGACTTTATTATAACCTTATGTCAAGACAGAAAATATTTTTTTAAAAAAACCTGATCAGGTGCTTTTTGCTGTTCATTTTTAAAACGAGTTCCCTTCTTGTTTATATGTATTTCTGAAGTTTTAGCTCTATCAATATGTTCTTGCATTGTTAAAGGTGCTTCGTCTAGATGATTGAAAAGAACTACATTACGTGCTTTATAGCTCCAATTGTCAACATTTATTGGTCTTTGATCATCTTTAAAAAATTTGAAAGTTTTTTAAAAATTATAAAAATCTTTTTCGATACGGCCATACCTAAGAAACATTTTCATAAACTACAAAAAAGCGAAACAGACAGGATTGATTACAAGAAAAAAACCGAAAAACTCCAAGAAAGTTCTCAAGTCAAAACTCAAGACCAAAAAAAATGGACAGGTCTACTGACAATCTGCAGTCTGAGGAAGGAGCAACGGAACTACCCTAATAACAATTTTTGTGTTTTTTGGATCCAAAATTAACAAGTTTACTTCCTTCCCTTTTCCCTACCTTTCGACTACCTTTTCCGACTTTCATTATAAAACAAAAACAATTCCAAACCTGACGTATTACTTTTAGCAACTAATTGTTCATCAGCAGCCTCCAACATTGGCTGATCTCTAGAAACTAAAGATTCATTATGTTTCGCTTCTGCTTCATACATCCAAGCATTTTGAACCTTTAAAATTAATTTTCAAAAAAATTTCAAAGATTCCCTTACTCTTTCTCGTTTTTTCCCCAATTCAAAAAGTTCTTCAAAACTAGCATTATCTTCACTTGTATATTTTTCTAAATATGTTTGGACTGTAAAGTTATCCAATGCTTTTTTGGGGAGAGAATCCTTTTTCTTTTTATTGCTGCCATTCTGAAATTTAAAAAAAAATTATTAAAATAATAAAGTTTAAACGTCCGAAAATGTTGAAACGTGTCGGGTGATCAAAAAAAGAATTTAGACTATAAGAAGCAGATTTAGGTAATAATGTCGTTTCCAGTCCCCCTTTTTTCCTCACCAAGTTTTTTCCTATAATTTGTATAGAATGGACCAATTTTCTCCTTCCATCACATTAGCCTTTCTTTCTTTCTAAAGAACTGAATAAAAAATAATCATTCTTGATGGTTTGTAGGCAGAATATAGTAAGGCAATTGTGATGGAAGAAGGAAAAGTCTTCCCATTTTGTACAAATTATAGGAAAAAAATTTAGTAAGGAAAAAAGGGGGACTGGAAACGACACTATTACCCAGATTTTTCGGGGGCCTGGTTATGGGCCTGATGGGGGGATAAAAGGTCAAATTCGAAATAACGGTTTAAAGGTCTAAATAAATTTATTTCTAAAACATTTTAGGCAATTTTGGTTCAATTTATAGTCAATCTATTAAATGAGTAGGGTTGGTGAATTGATTTAATTTAAGCCAAACTGTAAATATTTGTTTTGTCAATATATTCAACAAATAACCGGGTGGGGGCTAACTCAATAAATACCAACTCAAGGAACAGACAAATCAAGGAACGACAAGTCAAGGAACGACCAACTCAAGGAATATTTTAAAAATCCGAATTTTTCAGAATTCTGTTTTTCAAAGTGTTCTAATTTGTTTTTAATTCTTATTTTCTAAAAATATTCAGATTTTTCAAAAAATTTAAATTTTTAAAATATTCCTTGAGTTGATCGTTCCTTGAGTTGATCGTTCCTTGACCTGTCTTTTCATTGACTTGTCTGTTACTTGAGTTAGCCCGACACAAAACAACCAAAGTTTTAATTTTCCAATTCTAATTTAATTTTAAAAAATACCAAAAAAGCATCATTGTCCCCCTCTTCATTAGCATAAGGAGCATTTCCTGTCTCTTGTATTTTATCACCTTCTTCCCCTTCTTGTTTTATTTTCTCTAAAGGTGTTGCTGGGTCAAAAAGTGAAGCAGAAGTGTTTGGCCTTTGAGAGGGGGAAGTTCTTCTGAAAAATTTTTTTTGAATGAAAGATTTAAAAAGAAAAACCTGTCAGTTCTGCGAGTACTATAACGAATTTGTAATTCTCTAATTTTTAAATGGTCATTGCGGGCAACTGCATCGATAAATTCTGCTTGGGCCTAAATTTTAGAAAATTAGGGAAATTTCAGGCAAAATTGTCTTTAAAGGAGTTAAAATATGGTTGTGAGCATTCCGGTTATGAAATCGAAAAGTTTGATATTTCTTGCCAAAAATTAACCGTTTTTATGGTATTTCCTTTTAAGAACTTCCCCCAAAATAAAAACGATATTTAATTACAAAACTCAAAATGCAAACAGTTTTTAAAATTTAAATTAACCGAAAACCGTGTAGGGTTGGAGGCCCGATCCGAAAGATCGAGTCGGGCATTGAATTTTGGCACGAAAGACTCGGTCGGGCCAGCCGAAAAAATGACTCTGCCCAACTCGAAAACCCCAACCTTAAAATCGTGGTTACCGGTTAATAAATAACCTTTTGTGTCAATCAAAATTTAATCAGATTTCTCTGAAAAAATGTGATAAAATTTTGCAAACCCCCAATTAATTACTTAAATACAAATTAATTTAAAAAACCTTCAATTTCGGCAATTCAGGAAAATAATCTCTCACAATAATCTTTTCCAAATTTCCAAGATATTGTGCTTCTGGCAAAACTTTTCGAACTTCCTTCTTTGTTTCCAAAACCTTAGCGCCAAGCCTAACAACTTTTGTTTTGCGAGAAGAGGAGGGAACATCGATTAATGCATCGATTTTGTCAAAACTTGTGAAGGATTCTGAATTTGAATGAGTTGAAGAATCTTGTTGGTTTTTAGTTTGTGACATTTTTTCTGAAAAAATAAAAAAAAATTATCTTTAAAAAATTATAAAAACAAAGATTAAAAAATTAAAATTTAGCAAAAACTTAAAAAATTAAAATTAACGAAAGGTACGAAAAAACAAGAGACAATGCCAGAGAAAGAAAGAAAAACAAAAAGAAAGAAGTAAATAGAGAAATAAATAAAATTTAAAGAATAAATGTCAAATAACGAAACACCAAAATTAAAAATGCCCAGAAAAGCTAAAATACACATTGCAAGGGAAATTAGTTAAATTTCATACTGTACGAGCGTTTGTTCGCCGCTTCGCGGCGAACAAACGCTCGTTCTAACTTTTTTAAATAATAAAATTGTGAAAAATTAGTCCGGTTTTAGTAAATGATTCATATATTTACTGGACGACTAACACTGATCAACTGCCGGCTTATTCTCTCACCTAAGCTCATGATTTCTCTCCAATTTCCGGGCCTGATCTCTCACCTACTTCCTTTTTCTGACACTGACCTCTCAATTTTTGGCGACTGAACTGTAGCCATTTAACGGATCTTGGGCCTATTTCTCCCCTCCATAGATTCGGATTCTGCGATAATTCTATTTCTCCGAAATTCTGCGGACGCAGATTCTGTGGTGTCCGCAGATTCTGCGGTCTATTTTTCCTTTATTCGTTCAAAAAGGTCAGTTTTCTTTCTTCCTCAATTTCACTTAATTTTCCCTGTGGACTCAATCTTCCGTGCTCATTCGATTTTCACAAATGTTGATTTCGACTCCGCCCCAGAATATCGACACCCTAAATATCGGCCCAAATAGCGGCGAACCCTTTTGAAATTAAGGAATTACGATATTTTGGGTAATTCATCTTTTTGGGTGTCGATATTTTGGGTGACGATTTTTAGGGGTGATCCCGTTGATTTCAATTTTGATGACATCGGAAAGAAAAACCTACTTAAAATACCCTTTTCAATTCTTTTTAACCCTCTTTAAATAAGAAACAAACCGATATCTACCCTAATCATTACATAGCCCTACCTAAATACCCTCTTCAATTCTTTTTATCCCTCTTTAAATCCCACGATTTTCCTCTTTATGCCCTGTTATCATTCTTTGCCCCCTTAATCCAATGAAATCTCCACTCTCTTGTGGAGATCACTCAAATCCCCCTTTTTCCTTGGATTATACCTATAAACCCTATATATCCATCTTAATCCCCTTAAATCCCTTTTTATGTTTTTTGTTCTTGCATACTCTTTTTCTATTCTTATCCCCATGTTAATCTTCTGAATCCCTCGTTTTATTCCCAAAATCCTATATTCTCAAAATCCTCACAAAATCACCCCTTTAGCTTTTAATACTTGATCAGAATGTTTGTCTCCGTTATCACCTGTTATCTCTTTTCACTAAAACCCTTCTTATCTCTCGTTTATACCCCGAATCCTTTCAAATCTCTTAATCCACTCAATCCTCTCAAATCTCACTTTAACTTACTATTAAAAATTCAAACCCTGTTAAACTTTTCTTTTTTAAATCACATCCTCTCTAAACCCTTGCTGCCTCAATTAATACTTCGTATTCTCTGATATTACTCTTTTCTTTCCTATATATTGATCTCTTTATTACTCCAACACATCCATTGGTTTCACTTTCTTCAATTTTATGAATCTCTCTGTCGCTCTCATTTTCCCGGCTCTAACTCGTCTCTAAATCGCGCAAAGCCCTTTAACTCACTAAATCCTAAATTTCTCCGCTAATCCGCAAAAACACCTGTTAACCCTCTTATACTACTAATCTGTTGTTATATGGTTATCATCTAATATGCTCCTTTCATCAAAAAATTTTTGTTTTCCCAAAATCCCCTCAAATATTCTGTTCTCTTTATCAAACTCCCATATCCGCAGATATCGTATTTTCCTCCAAATCCCCTCTATTATCTTGGTCTTTCTGCTAATCCTTGACCCCCTCAAATCATTTGCGAAAAATTCCGTCATATCTACCAGAAACCGATCGGACAAAAGATATGTTATTCGAAAGAGCTCACCGAGCTGAGTCGAACGACACCAAAATCAGCTCGAGATCTTGATACTGAGTCGAGATAAAGAGGCTCTCAATTGTAACGTAAACCTATGGGGCGTAGGCGAGGCGCTTGTGCAAAACCCCGCGCTTCGCGCGGGGTTTTGCGGCACGCGCCTCTCGAGGAGTCTACGGTCGCTGGGTTCTAGGCGCGTAACTTAATCCTATTCCCATCATAGATGAGGTGGGCATGCCTGGCTTCCTCCGCAGCAGCAATAATCTCAACGAAGACCATAGGTAAGGAACTTAAAAAAACGATCATAACTTTGTCTAATCAAATAAGATTTCAATTATTTCGATGTTTTTCGACGCAGCTCGAGGAGCTCTTTCGAAAGAGGTATAATTTGCATATTATAATTCTTTACCCCAAAATTAAGCTTACTCCTCCTATGGTTTTTGATTTTCGGTGACCTATATCTCGGCCCATAGAACTATTAACTGTATCAAATCTATTTTGCTGCAAATTTGATAAGCTTAGTTTTGAGAAAAACTCAAAATGTTTTCTCAGCGGGATCCTTGTGCTTAGCGACGGCCGTGCTCGCTTTCGCGGCGGCCGCCGACTCAGAAATTTTCATGTTCGAGTGTTTTTTAATTTTTTTTTGTTTCAGAACAAAAAATTGAAAATTCCTTTGGTCGTTCTGTCCTGATCTTTGCCTCACAACAATGACGTACATTCTGAACCCTTTCCTCAACATTTTTTCCTGATTCCGCTCTTTTATCTTATATTAATCAGTCTCTCATACTTTTTAGTCTTTGACTTAGACTATATCATATTTCCTTATTCAGTAAATTCAAAAATTTTGATCAAATTACTAAATAAACATCATTTTTGACTTACGCATTATTTTTAATCTTTCGTTTCAATTTAGTCTTTTCTATTTTTTCTCTGGTTAGACTTTTTTATTTAAAGCTTGTTAGGCCTTTTGTACATTTAAACTCTTTAGTCCTTTTGTGCTTTTTAAACCAGTTAGATCTTTTGTACTTTTAACTCTGTTTAGATCTATTGTAATATCTAAACTAATTGGGTCTTTTGTACTATATGAACTGATTAGAACTTTTGTACTGTCTAAATGTTTTGGTCTTTTGTTCTATATAAACTGATTAGGTCTTTTGTACTATATAAACTGATTAGGTCTTTTGTACTATCTAAACTGTTTAGGTCTTTTGTACTATCTAAACTGTTTAGTTCTTTTGTACTATCTAAACTGATTAGGTCTTTTGTACTATCAAAGCTGATTAGGTCTTTTGTACTATCTTAACTGATTAGGTCTTTTGTACTATCGAAGCTGATTAGGTCTTTTGTACTATCTTAACTGATTAGGTCTTTTGTACTATCAAAGCTGATTAGGTCTTTTGTACTATATAGACTAATTAGGTCTTTTGTACTGTCCTAACTGATTAGGTCTTTTGAACTATCCAAACTGATTAGGTCTTTTGTACTATATTAACTAATTAGGTCTTTTGTACTATCATAACTGATAGGTCTTTTGTACTATATTAACTAATTAGGTCTTTTGTACTATCATAACTGATAGGTCTTTTGTACTATATAAACTGTTTAGGTCTTTTGTACTATCTTAACTGTTTAGGTCTTTTGTACTATCAAAGCTGATTAGGTCTTTTGTACTATCTTAACTGATTAGGTCTTTTGTACTATCAAAGCTGATTAGGTCTTTTGTACTATCTTAACTGATTAGGTCTTTTGTACTATCAAAGCTGATTAGGTCTTTTGTACTATCTTAACTGATTAGGTCTTTTGTACTATCAAAGCTGATTAGGTCTTTTGTACTATCTTAACTGATTAGGTCTTTTGTACTATCAAAGCTGATTAGGTCTTTTGTACTATCTTAACTGTTTAGGTCTTTTGTACCTTGTTGTTGTGTACCATTTTGTCTGGGCACTCGATGTTTACATTTAAAATTTTGAAAGAGAAAGACGCTAAGTTTTACTTCTCTTTCATGTGTTATTTTCTTTTTTTTGTTGTCTTTTTATTGTTTACTTCTTTGAAAACTTTTCGTTTCAATAAAAATTCTGTTTACATAATCAAAAAAATTTTCACGTGGACCATCAAATTAATATTATAAATGGGTAAGAGAGAGAAAAATTTTGATTAAATCCCAATTTTAATCAAAATTATCTTATCCTAGTTTTCCTCAAAGTAAAAATATAAAAAAATTTTAAATTTATACTTCATCCCCTCAATTTTTGTCGCGGATCGCTCCAAAGTGCATTCTCTTGCTCTAAGAGCAAGAGAAATATTTTAGTTTAATAATTGGCTGGGAAAGTTAATTTCTATTTATTTCGCTTATCTTCCTCTTATGGACGCGTCAACCACTCTTGTAGTGGAAGACTAGCATTAAATTGTCAACTAAGCTCACTTTGGATATGTCGAAACTCTTAGAGCTATCGACTCGTTCCTTATCTCTGACCATACATTCTTCTGAAAGGCAAATGGATTACTCATCCGCTCATGTCAATCCTTCTTAAATGGCCTGTCTTCCCAAACACTAAAGATTGTTCATCCGCCTATGTCGATCACTCTCAGAGTGAACGACTCCTCAAATGGTAATGGCCTGCTCATCCATGTCGGGCACTCTTAGAGTGAACGACTCTCATCTCACACATTAATTGCTTGCTCATCTCGCCATGTCGCTCATTTTCCTAGTGGGCGACCTTTGCTTTGTCTCCGCACAATTACAACTCCCCGCCTATTTGTTCAATCTGGCTTTTCTTTATAAGAAAAAGACATGGAGAAGAATTAGTTTCATTTTATATAATTTTAACCTTTCTTTCACTTTTCACAATTATTTTCCAATGTAAATAAAAACTTCCCTTTTATCCCTTTTTTCTTTTATTTTCCCCATTAATGTAAATATTTATATTATTCCTTTTGACTTATTTACCTGTATTTATTAAATAAATTAAATTATTCGACTATTCTTATTTAAATAAATATTTATGAATTAACTTTTATTATTAATAATTACTTAGTCATCATTGCCTAGTCAACTACTTCGTTGTACTCATTAAATGAGCTACAAATAATGACTTATTTCTACTTATTCCTGGCCTTCACACGTCAAAATAGGGAGTTCCGGGATTCTTCCCGGGTTCAATGGCCACGGCAGACGCGATTTTGCGGGAAAACCTGTATCTTACAACATGCCTTCCATCATGCGGCATCTTGCCAAAATCAGTCGGGGACCTATGGCTCCGCGACGGAACATGATTCCCCGACAAATGGCGAGCACGGCAGGATGTGCTCCCGCAATAGATGGTGCTCATGGATTTTTTGGTATGTCAAAATTTCTTTAGATAAAATTTTTGTCCGAGAATTTCTATTCGAGGACTTTGAAAAAGGACAATACTATGCGTCATCTATTATATTCACTTCTATTGCTATATTCCAACGCGGCAACTACTCGAAATTCGTCACACTATGTGTATACGATTACTAATTATTCAATGCTCTACATAATTACATTATTCCTTCTAGTTTTAAAACAAATTTTCAATTTTCCATCTAACTAATATTGTTGAATCACTTAGTGTTTTCAACCTTAGTCCTTGGGAAAGAACTATATCTTTAACGCTTTAATTCTTTCACAGAAATTACAACATAAAGAGAAGAATGAAGAAAATACTATTAAACAACCAAGAGAAAAATTTCTACCTTACATCAATGTTGTTAGACTTAGCCTAAACAACTATTATTGTTAAAACTTCAATTTGCTAACTTTATTGAATTTCTATTGTTGTTAGACGTGTCTTATCAAACCAATTTTCAGACAACACTCAATTATTGTTGAAGGATTTCTATCTGACAACTTGATCAATTTTTTATTTTTGTTGCACTTATGTCTAGCAACTAAAATCTTAACTCATCCTTGTTGGAAGGCTTCGACCTGAAAACATAAATCATTAGACCTATGTCAAACAACTACAAATTTTCATTTATTGTTGAATGGCTTCGATCTTACAACTTTATAATTTCAATTGTTGTTAGACTTATGTCGAGCAACCACAAATTTTTTAGATAAATCTCAATTATGTTTACAATGCTTATGTCGGAAAATAATTGTAATCATTGCCCAACAAACTTCATTCTCTCTGTTGTATGGCTTATGCCAGTCAACAATCGAATAGAACAGCACAGTGATCATTTTCTCACATCTTCGACGTTTATTTTAACATCAATGAACTCTT